TCACCTCCTTGCCCACCGCGTTCGGAGGGGCTGATCACACTTGGCTGCTCGCGGCTCCGGCCTGCTGGGGAGGGTGAAACGGGCCCGGAGGCCTGGCTCAGCAGGTTTTCAGGGGTGCGCGACCCCCCAATGGGGCCGTTGCCAGGCTGGGAGATTCCAGCTCTCCTCCACCAGAGCTGCAGCCACTGGGGCAAATAGAAACGGTCCCAGGTGCATTTCGAGAACAGCGGGTCCCAGGCTCCGGCACAGCTAATCAGCAGCTCATGGGCTCTGCTGACTTGTGCTCACGTGTACCTGGGGCCTTAGCACCTGCTTGGAGTCCTCTGAGAACTCTGCCCCTGGGCGCAGGGTGGCACCCAGGGCCCCGGATTCCCCCAAGCCGGACGCGCCGAACTGACGGGGCTTCCAAGAGAGAAGGAGGAGCTGGCTGAACTTGCGAGCTGGCGTCGTGGGATGGAGCCGAAGTGGTGGGCTGGGCTTGCTGGGGGCGGGGGGAGTTAATTCCGTTCTGTTCTCAAAGCCACGCCACAGCGTGCGGGGCCCGGCCACAGGTGGGCTACGAACCCTGGAGAGGACTGGCAGGGGCCCACGAGATGCCTCGTGCCAGGGCTGTGAAGGAGCCGGGGCCCCACCACCACCAGGAGAGCAGACTCATCCCCTTGCTGGCCAGGAGCTCAGGCGGCCCCCCACTTTCTGCTGCAGCAGCCGCCGGGCTCCTGGGCCACGTGACCAGCTTCTCCTCTGCCCACTTGTGAGAGCTCGCTGGTCGTTCTGCGCTGGCTCCGGCTCGCTGCCCCTGGGGCGTAGCCAGCACTTTCCTGTCCTTGTTCCCGCCCAGCTGAGTGTCCAATGTCGCCTGCTCGTCGCACGTGCCTGTCTCCTGCCGCAGTGCTGAGCGCGGGGCCGGCTGTGGCAAACGGTCCGTGCTCCTCGCCCGCCTGTAAATACGTATCCTGCCGAAACGCCTTGACTGCAGCCCGGGGATGAAATCTGAGTAATTCCCTTGAACTCCCAGGGCAGGTGCCCCAGGGTGCCACAGCCTGCCTGCTGGACACCTGTGTGCCAGGGACAGTCACCAGCCACACCAGATCTCTTCTCCACTGGAGGGGGGCTGGGGGAAGCAAATCGACCCCCTTTAAACGATGCTCCGCAGCTCTCTGCACGTGGGCATTTAAGCACCTTCTCCCATCAGCCTCCTCCCAACCTTTCGTGTTCCCCTCACCTGGCCCACGAGCCACGAGCACCCAGGAAGTGACGTGTTTCAAGTAGATTTGGAACCCAAAGCGTGGCCATTCCTGGATGGAATTAGTATCAACCAGACTGCCAAAGCAACAAGGGCCCCAGGGCACCGGTACAGACGGACACTCGGACCATGACATACGCTTTCATGAGTTGCAATTCCCTTGGCCAGATGCAAGGGCAATCAGCAAAAGAAACAGATTGTGGGGATACAGAGGTGGGAGTGTTATATTTTGGGAGAGAACAGCTGACAGTTAGCTAAGACTCTTGCCATTACAGTACTATTTATGGAGAATGTTAAAGAGCAGCTGCTACAGTTAGACATTTTAAAAATCAGCTGGTCCAGATAACCTGCAGCCAAGAGTTTTAAAAGAGCTGCCGGAGGAGTTTGCTAGGCCTTTAATGCTGCTTTTCAGTAACTCTTGGAACAGTGGAGACATTCTGGAAGATAGCTAATGTAGCAGTATTAAAATGTAAACAAGATGCCCAGGTAATTAAAGGCCTGCCATCTGACATCAGTCCTGGGTAAGATTATGGAGTGGCCCATACAGAACTTGATTAAAGGAAGTTTCTGTGACTAATGCCAGTCCACATGGGTTTACAGACCCTAGAGCCTGTCAGTCACTTGGTAGTTTTTTTTGGTGAGATTACACATTTGGGTGCCAAAGGAAATTGTGGTGCTGTCACGCACTTAGACTTCCCTGTGGTGTTCGGCTGGGTCCCCACTGACAATAGACTGATATAAAATTACCAGCAACACACTGCTGGGATTGGAAACGGGCTAAGTGACAAAATGCAATTAATGGGAATTGTCCGTGCGTGGGCGTGTTTCCAGCAGGGCTCTGCGGGGAGGGGGGAGGTTCTGGGCCTGTT